ATCTCTACAAAAAAAAAGGAAAATAATTCTTTTCACAGGTTTTGGTTTTTTTCCTTCAAAAAATCCAACACCAATACAGTTTTATTCTTGAAAATATCACAAAAATCGGAAAATTGTATATAATATTTTCGATTTGTTTTAACGTTGTTTGTACAAATCACCGAAAAAACGAAATTTTTTTTCTAAAACAATTATTTTCACAAAAAATCTAACACTTTTGGATTTTCTATTTGAAAATTTTCCCAAAATATCACAAAAATCGGAAAATTGTATATAATATTTTCGATTTATTTTAACGTTGTTTGTGCAAATCACCGAAAAAATTATTATTTTTTCTCTAAAAATGCTATTTACAAAGAAAAACTACCACCAATAAATGTAATTGAAAATCTAACAAAATATTACAAAACTCGAAAAAATACTATATAACATTTTAGATCTATTTTCACGGTATATGTAGAAATCACAGGAAAAATAGGATTTTTCTAATCACAAAATGTTTTCACAAAAAACGCACACTTATGGGAGTTTTATATTTGCAATTACTAATAAAATATCGCAAAAATCGGAAAATGTTATATAATATTTTCGATTTAATTTCACGTTATTTGCACAAATCACCGAAAAAAATTAAATTTTTTTTACTAAAACAATTATTTTCACAAAAAATTTTAACACTTTTGGATTTTCTATTTGAAAATTTTCCCAAAATATCACAAATATCAGAAAATTGTATATAGCATTTCGATTTTAATTCACTTTTTTGTACAAATCATTGAAAAAAAATGTATTTTTTAATAAAAAATCGTTTTCACAGCAAAAAAAAGTAACTCCAAATTAACACACATGTACGTGCACATACGTACATACATATATATAAGCACAAATTACTCACCTAAGTTGAGGGTGGGGAGGGCACCCTTCTTCAGGTATTTCCCTCCCACAGCTTCCGGCTCGAAATGTTGGCTGCATACCAGGGAGTAGGTGGGTGGAAGCTTCTCCTCTGCTCTAATCCTCAGGTTGTCCCTCCATTTGGCTGCTTCGGCTTTGTCCAGCGGGAACCTGAAAAAACGTAGGTTTGGATGTTGGTTTACGCAACCGATTACACGACATTTTCGCTTTTTTCCGTCCATTTTTCGCGTTTAGGACCGACTTTCTGCATTCACGATTCGATCGCGTTATAAAAATACGCTGCCGCCAGAATAAATTCTGGAAACTAAAAGTCCGTTGACTTGTTCCTTTTGTGTTTGACATTATAACGGAATTCAATTCAATCAGAAATCGAATTGGCGAAAATGTCAAACAAAAGAAAAAGCTTTGTTGTAATCCACCTGCAGCATCTATTTTCCGACCAAATGCTAACATTTCCAATTGCTCCAATTGCAATTTCTGTTAATTTTGCGCCACTCTGCGCTCACGCTGTTAAAAAATGGTGAGATTCTAGAGCTATCGATGTTAAAAATTTAACGTGGTGAGCTTCTAGCCGATTTCTGATCTATTACAAAATACCAACGAGTAGCGTGTTGCTGCT